CCCATATCGGTACGGTTCAATCGGTTCTGAATCGATCAAAACTGCTTCACGCGAAAAAAAATCATGTGAGAAAATCTATTTTTTTTCAGCCAGAACCAACCAAATCAAGCATATTTTCTGATCAAGTATCATTTCATTTTCCAAAAATAGTTCAAGAGAATTTCAGCAAATTTTAAAAAGAGAAAAAAACGTAAATGATTTTGAAACTTTTGTCTGCAGCGCGCGCAATGGTTCGCTTGAACTCACGCACTAGACTGAGACTGAGAGAGCTGGATAGGGTTTAATCAAAAGTTTGGGAACAACTCCCCTGATTGTCTTAAGCATAGTATCACCGACCCTGATCACAGATGCAGAATGGCCAGTCTTCAAGTTAAGTTTCGCCAAATCAGACAAAGGCCCATTGGCGCCATATATGTGGCCAATTTTGCATTTAATCAATATTTTGAGAACAGGAACAAAAGCATTATTATTTGATAGCTTGGATCTTGTAATTTATGGAAATAACTTAAGAGCGATTTTAGATCAGACTAATTAACTTATGAGCGGCCCGAAAAGCGCGGAGGAGGGCGTGGCCCTCTCTTTTACCTTTTTGCTGATACTGTTGCAACGCAATGTAGAGGAGAAATGAAAGCAGTTTTTATTAATGCCTTAATTGGCACCTGTGGAACATGAAATTATTACTTAAGAGGGCTTTTAGGTCAGACTAATTACCTTAAGACCGGCGGGTAAAGCCAGAAAGGGGCGGGGCCTCGACCCCCCCCCCGTACATTTTGGCTCCTATCGTCGCAAAGCATTTCTTTGACAGTTTCTGTTGTTCAGGTGTCTTGCAGTTATTTTGAAAAGCAGGTTTATGAAAATGTGGAATACCTTCGTCACAAAATGTCAATTTTCCAACATAGGTAGACCTAAATGTTAACTTTTTCCATTGAAAAGTACATGCAAATAAAAACATGCATGAGAGTGCCGACTATATAACAGATCGAATTGTAGCAGTGCAAATGTACTTCTTGGTTCTGGTCGTGGAATGCATAATCAGTTTAGGTTTGTAGATCTTGCTTGCAAGAGTTTCAGCAGGCAAATCTGGATGACCTCCAGGAAAGGATAACTCATGAAATTGACATTCTCAGACAAGACAGGGAGGTGATTTGCCGTGCTGTTGCAGGAATGATGCGCCGAGCCCAGCTGTGCATTGAACGAGATGGTGGCCATGTTGAGGACTAAGACACCGGGGAATTGAATTGCCTTTTTAATTAAATTTAAATATTTTAAATAAACACGAAGTTTAAAAGCTAATGAAATCCTGTTTTGTCTCTTTGTTAGACAATGGTTGTGTTCTTTAAAATTGTCTCTTTCTTATCCAGCCCTGACCAGTTGGCGCAAGTCAGATTTCACCGACCCATTTAATTGCCTCCTGTGCAGTTAAGCATAAAACTAATCTGCTGAAAATGTCACCAAAAAGAAGCAGGAAGCGTTACTCTTAAAGTATATATGAAAATATCTTATCTACTATTTTGCTACAGAATAAAACTATGGCCAAGTTTAAAAGCGTATAGTTTGTTTTTGACTCGCACTGTATGGATCGCGCGCAAGATCTGTGGTTCGAACCTATGTCCATTTGCATCAAATATTCGTGTTGGTTGGGATAAGTTTAATTGAAGGGAAACAGAACCTAAGTGTCTTCCATCCACACAGCGTGATAAATATTCATGTTAGGGTGCGTGATGTGATTGGTTAAAACACGATGTATGCTGAAAAAAAATACGCTGGCGGGGAAGCTAAGCTTGGCGGAGGTTTGCGCACTCTGAGCAACCTCGTCCCCAGTGCTTACTTTATTTCCAACCGTGTTTCCAATAGTAAACCCTGGATAGGAAACTTTCTTCCTGTATCCTGATTGGATACCGCAATTGGCTAGAAATGGATTTTTATCGTGTACTTGGTGCTATTATTCACAACGTGCAGTACGTGTTTTCGCGATCATTCGTCCACGCCTTCTCGAAAATACTAATTTCCTTTCCAATTTGCTCATATTAATATGAAATATGATACTGCATGTTGTCTCGATAAGATCGTAACAGTTTGATTTAAAAAATCGTGTTTTCGTAACTCACGCCGTGCTCGCGCTGCTACGAATTGACTATGTTTTTACCCCAGACACCGCATACAAAAACAAACGCTAATGTGTAACGCATATCCAGGCACCAGACTGTTCCTCATTTGCATACGTGTGCAAAAATCTTGCACATGCAAATGATCCAATACCAGGGTGAGAGAGCAGGTAGTGGTGGGCGCGTACTGCTCGACACCCTTGGGACGAGGTTGCACTCTGAGTGCTTTCTAGTTAAATTCGCATGCGACGGCCATTTTCTGCAGTGGCACCAGGCTCGCGTCGCGCTTAGATAGTACGCACGCACTTCCAGCCGTGTAGTTGCGAAGGGCGATTACAAAGGTTACGTAACACTTTATTTTGAATGAAACTACATGCACACAGACATGTTCACGTTGGCGTGCGAAATCTTTGAAAATTATTTTTCCCGTTTGAAAGACCGTATCTTCATGCAACTTTCAGGGTTTATTTCCCTTATAATGATCCAAGTATGTGCCTAAAATCGTTTTGACATGTTCAGTACTTTTTGTTGAAATTGGAAAAATAGGCCTGTCTACGTGCATTTTTAAAAGTTGTAACACTGGTGTTTGCAATATCTGTCAATCTTTTCAAGCCTCACAAATATTGATCAAGTTCCTATCCATTATGGTGTGCAGTAAAAATGTGCATAAAAGCCTCCTTCACGATAATTAATAAATATCACCATTTTTGCCGGCTTTCATTAGTCGATACCGAGACCCGCGTCAAGTCACGCCGAGTGACGCTAATGAATATACTATATGCACTTCGTCAATGTGTTGCCGGGCTGAAATCGGTCAACCATAGCGCCTACGGCGCTACAGAATCTTTGCTGAAAACCATGCACGTGGAGTTTGGTCAAAAAAAATTCCTCGTCGAAATTTTTCTTGGAGATAGTTCAAGGTGTAACACTAGCGTTTGCAACAATAAGTGTTCAACTACTCGTGAAATAACAACTTGAGTATAGATTCCTAGAAATTGAGATAAATGCATGGATTTGGGGAAGTTTTCGAACGATTTCTTCCAGACTTGAAGGTCAGCTTTACCGCTGACTAGTATTGACATTTCGGCATCGATGACGGCGATTTTTTTTTCACCAACATGAAGTTTAGAATTTATGCTTCCGTTATAATATAACATTTCAATCACTGAGCATATTTTCTGAGAAACACAACGTTCAAAAGGCCATGTTTTTGGGGGTTCACGAATTTCACTGCTCTGTTACAGCGTTTAAGTACGTAATCGGATTAGCTTTGTTAAAGTGGGAGATATCATATAGTTTGTCCCCCCCCCCTTTTTTTCGTCCCCGAATAGAATTTGTAGCCTACAATTTATTCTATAGCTCAGAATAGCTCGAAAAGGATGTTTAATAAATGATGGTCTTTTGCTCAAACAGAAATGGTTAAAGTTGTCAGAAGTTGCCTCAGATCGCACCACCGTACCATATACCACCGAGCGTGTAGAATTCAACATTCTTCGGAGCCCTTAAGCGGGTCCCGAACCCCACGCTGCAAATATTTGGACCCACTTTTTTGGGAAAATATTTTTTGCCCCCTCCCCCAAAAATTGTGTTCTGGATCCGCCCTTGCGCCCCATCGAGGGTCCTACATTTGGCACAATATGGCGGGAAATTGTTTAGCTTTGGCGGAGATTTGCGTTCTCCGAGTGCTTTCTAGTTAAATTCGCATGCGACGGCCATTTTCTGTGGTGGCACCAGGCTCGCGTCGCACTCAGACGCGGCGAGAATGATGTACGATCCGTTCAGAATGAAATCCATTCAGAATTAAAAGGCAGTACGAGGGAAGTGACGCCCCATATCAGTTTCTCAAAACCTGGGCCTACATCTAAGAATTTTATCGCGCTTAATCGCGCGCGCGCCCACAGACAAATCAAATATACATGCTTAAACCTTAGTCTCGAATTACAGGAGTAAATCCGAACATTAGCCGGGGAGGAGAGGAAAGTAGGAAGTAGTCGCGCTATTCGTCAAAGCCATCATGAAATAGGAATACGACATTCTATTTTCAGGATCGTTTAAACATGACAGAGGAGAGAGAGAGAGAGTATAGTCTTGGTGCGAAATGTCCTTAGCTTGGTTATCCATGAGAGAAGGTACAGCCCCACCTAGCATGCATTATGCGTGCCGCACACGAGAGCTACGTCGTGCTAAGCAAAAAGTCATTCGAGGCCGTTTGCTCAACACGAGTTTTTTGCCTCGCGAGGCCGTGAGGCAAATATCTATCCCGTTTGATTTTGTTCTCAGCACGGATAGCTCTGTGTTCGGCGAGCTTTATGTGGGGGATCGTAGACGGGGGACTGGTCACTATCTTTCAATGGGGGCGCTGTTCAAAACCGAATTCGTGGTCATTGTCAGATAACATGTATCGCTATACGCTTTCCACGGGACGTTAAAATATACAGCCAATCGCGAAAAACAGGGTTTTCGCCAAAAATAAATTTAAAATGTGAAAATGGTCACTTCATGTTAAACCCGATAATCATGGTTTCGTGATTTTTCCCAGATTGCCTTATTTCCAGTGGGATCTGGTCGAGTGACAGCAGCGTTGCAAGGTCATTAAAAAAATTTTTTTTTTGGGGGGGGGGGGGTTAGACGTGAAAAGGGCAATTTGCCCATCATCCGTGCTGAAAGATAGACAGGTTTTGTTTCTTCAACGGACACCTTGCCTCTGTTAATTATTTTTGAAATGTGTGCGGGGGGGGGGGGGGGGGTTGGAACCATACGCGAGAAAATTAAAAGTCCTCTTCCAGACAAGTTCTCTTCGAACTCTTTCAATGTAATTATTTTTTTTACTAAAAGCGTGGTCCCACTTCCTGCTCATTGCTTGTTAAATAATCTTTGAAGATAGGAATTCAAACATTTATCATGATGGCTGGAGTTTCTTCCGTTTATTGTTACACTCCACTCGTATAGACTTTTTATGCTTGGTTCTTATGCTCGGCATGTAACAAAGTAACTACAAAAGTTTAAACTATAGTTTAATATCAAAGACAATATTTTCCAAAATATATGTTTATATGCCCTGAATTATTCATTTACTTTGAATTCCTTACAGAATATAAAAGTTGCTAAGCGACTTCACTAAATTGTCAAAAGAAGACAAAAACGGTTATGAATGATGAAAATACATGCAAACTTCAATCAACCCTACGCCAACTCAAACGAAAGTTTCTCAAGTGGAGCTGAAGACAAGTCGAAAAACCCTTGTGATGAATATGCAAACGATTTTCGTATCATTCGATGATAGCAAACTAGTTTATGTTAGTCTTTATATCAGTCGTCCAAAGTTGTTAATCCCTCGGCTTGAAGACCATTCCAAATTCTCGACAAATTCTGCAGTTCACGCCTGAAAAATAAAAACATATGTATGCATTTAACTTCTTGTCCATAAAATAGACCCGTTTTTAATTCTTGTGTGTATGAGCTTTAGACCGTCACAATGAAATATATGAAAGAAAATTTAGGTTATGAACTTGAATATTTTGTTTAATTCCCAACTCTGGGTAGCCAAAATAATGTAAAAATACAAGCAGGCAAGCTTAGCAAAGCTTTTACCAAAATGGAAAACGGTGAAAATGGAGTGACCAGACGCGACGGGCAAACAAAACCCTAGTTATACGCACGTACAATATTATATTCTATTGAATCGATTAAGAACGGCTATACACTGGAAGTATTTTCGCTGACTAAACAATCAATGCGGCGGAGTTTATCCCATTCATGCTTCAGAGCAGTACATGAATATTTCAAACTTACTGGGCAACTTTGGCATTAAAGACTGGAGCATTCTGAGTCAGAGACTCAAGTCCGGTAGAAAGAAAGAGCACTATAGGTTGGCCCCTCTAACACCAGCAATAGACCTGTATCATGCATGCTGCCACCATTTCAGTCATGTTCCCTGTATCCATTATCAGTACTGAATGATGTTTTTGTGCAAAAAGGAACCACACTATTTTTCCTTCCCGCCTCGCTTTGGTTACGTTGATTTGAATGGGAAAAAAATCAATATTGCCGCAACATGATAATGGTCTAGGGAACCGATTTTTTTTCTTTTAAAAGTAAACCAAGAACGAAGAACAAATGCAACAATTTCATGCAATATGCTGTGACCTCTTTAGCATTAAAGGCACAGATATGCGAGTTATTCTTACCTCCATGCTCTACATGCAAAATTTCATGGGAACGGCCCAGACCTGGACTTCGCAAATCTGCAAAACGGCCCCGTCTCTTGGAATGTGAATAACGATCTGATCTCCCACAATTGGCCTATCGCAAATGACGAGGTTCATCCCGCCAGGAATGTTGGCCGACTGGGCGGTAACTGGTGAGCCGCACGCTGGTCCGCCTATCCCCCCTACACGCACCACAGCTCCGGTCAAACGGTCATCTGTATGAAAGAAATTATTATTTTAATGTCAGACATAAGATGAGGTAAAATTAATGTTTCTGTTTATAATGACCGACCATGCCGGTGTTTCATCTACCACTCGTATAGCCAGATGATCTCGAGACGAAACTGAATTTACAAAGAACATTGCTTTTTTAGCAAAGTTCGTATTTTCGAAAGTTGCACTCATCCCTGCATATATTTGGATTCTCTAGCTCCTAGTTCACTATTGTAAAACAAATGAATGCGATAGCAAAATAAGAAAAGAAAGAAATCGATTATCCTTCTAAGATTCTAAAGTGTGAAACAAGGGACCAGACTGATTTTGGACTAAAACAAACGAAAAAAAAACTTACCAAAATGACCAAAATAAGCCCCCAAGTTTCCCACAAAATGTGGCTACCAAATTTTAATTTTCAAAAAAAGCAAACAAAATGAATTAAATACTTAATTGTATTGTAGGAAAGATGTTTTTGAAAAGTTTGACAATGAGGCAAGAAATGTGCAGTAATGTTAAAGTCACTGGTATTTATCACAGAGTGCTATGAATCGAGGTAGAAATCTAAAGTATTGTGTTTCATTATTTTATGTGCCATCGTCGCACTTTTGTGCGTTACATTTTTGACTTGTATGCAAGACGGCCAGAGCTTATTGTGCACTCGCTCTTGTTATACTAGAGACTCTGGAGAAAAGGTCGATCTATCCGACTAAATGAATTTCGTCTGGTCCCTAGTCAGTCATGGGAGTAAATGTCACTCGAATAGAATGACTTAAAAGTTTTATTCTGGAAATGAGAGTATATAAAAAGAGAGGCTTTATAAAATATTTAAACCAAACTGGGCCAATTTTAAAGACACAAAAAATCAGAGTAAACCGATCTTCCTAGTGTAAATTTGAACACGAGTTTTGTAACTCACAGTCGCCGTCTCGACGGTTCACAATGCCGACCTGCACAATACAGTGAGGCTCACGAAGATACACTCTCCACCACGGGTTGTTCTGAGGTGCTACAATAAACGAAAGTAAATAAAACTAGATATACATCTGATTCAGACGGGGAGTGTTACAAAGCATGCAAGTCCCAGGCTGAGATGTTCCATTGATGCAGTGGCGGCGCTACGGGGAAGGGAGGGGGGGGGGTATGCGTGTTAACGTATGGGAAGGGCTGTACGCACATTGCCCTGCCCCGCCCCCCCCCCCCCCCCCCCCCAGTTTTCTCCCAAACCTTTATCAACAAATAGATTGTTTATTTTCTTCGCTGTTAAGATTCATAAAATGTGGACACATTAATTTGTGGGCCGATGAAAGCATAAGAATTATTGGTACTTTGGCAGACAAAACACGCCACACATGTATTCATACAGCCGTATCCGCTCCGTTCACAAGTACCCCCTCACTGGCAAAGAAGGAACAGTGGGGGTGACCGACCGACGCCATCTTGCCTGACTGCAATTTTGCCGTGACGTGCGGCCGTACCACTGCGTGTGCATCATCCCCTGGTGTACGTGCGTCACACACAAGGAGCGGTGCGCGTCAACCAGCTAAATGTCCCGCCCATGGGACGTCGTTGCTAGGTAAAAGGGCGCCCTCTTTGTTGGCGCACGGAGCTCATATACTGTGCAGCCAACGTCTTTGTACATTTGGTATATAGACCATTCTGCGGTTCGATGCATTTCTCATTCATAAAAACGACTACACGTCTAAGTTGCTCTAGTGGCCTATTTCCGTACCATTGACAATGGGCACGCGCGCGCGTACACAGGCATAACTTTTTATTTTGACTGCCCCCCCCCAATTTTCTTTGCCCCCCCCCCCTCCCATTGCCCCCACCCACAAGAGTCTGGCGCCGCCACTGCATTGATGTACCTTTAAACATAGTGAAATGCGAGGAAAACATCACTTCATTAACCAGGCCCGTGAGTATCAGCTATCTATAGATAAACGACTGATTTACCTGTGTGTGTGCAGCTTTGTCCCTGGATCAGATCCGAGTTGAAATTCTTGTCCACTGCGTTACCAGAGCCGAAAGTGACGTCATTGAATACGAGGGTGGAACTCTGTTCTGTTTGAAGGTTGACGATATCTACCAATGTAACTGCAGGAGCTGTTCGAACATGGAAAAAAACATTGAAATCGGAATAAAAATTTTAAATTGTTCAATGATTGGTTGATGTTAGTCCGTTCCATTATACTTATGCACGCCTGTCCAACAAATTGGCGTATTGCATTGCGTAAAGGTTTGTCTAATAATTTTACCGATGCCGTATAGTATACATGTCTGAAATCTGGCAATGAAGTACCGGAAACAGCCTTCGATGTAATTGATAGTGTTTAATCTCCAAGTCCGACGTCCCATTGTAGTGGCGCACCCAGGATTTGGCTTGGGGGGGGGGGGGGGAGGGGAGCCCCCATAAAAAATTCAAACATTTCATAAGTTTAATTTAAAAAAAAAATGTTGCCCAATTTTTTTGGCCGCAGAATTTTTATTCTGGCGTCCCTGTTACACCCCTATTTAATATACTACTCGACAAAAGGCTCAAGCCCCCCCCCCCCCCCCGAGCCCCCCCCCCCCTTGGGTGTGCCACTGTCCCATTGGTCAGATGAAACATGGTTCAGGTTGACTGACCCTTATCCTTAACCCCAACCTCGTCCCCAGGGTGTCGAGCAGTACGCGCCCACCACTACCTGCTCTACTCACCCTGGTATTGGATCATTTGCATGTGCAAGATTTTTGAACACGTATCCAAATTAGGAATAGTCTGGTGCCTGCCTGTGCGTTACATTTGTATTTTTTGTATGCGGTGTCTGGGGTAAAAACAGAGTCAATTTGTCGCAGCGCGAGCACGGTGAGTTACGAAAACACGATTTTTTTTTTCAATTATACTGTTACGATCTTATCGAGACAACATGCAGTATCACATTTCATATTAATATGAACAAATTGGAAAGTAAATGAATATTTTCGAGAAGGCATGGACGAATGATCCCGAAAACACGTACTGCACGTTGTGAATAACAACACCAAGTACACGATATAAATCCATTTCTAGCCAATTGCAATATCGAATCAGGATACAGGAAGAAAGTTTCCTATCCAGGGTTTACTATTGGAAACGATGTTGGAAATAAAGTAAGCACTGGGGACGATGTTGTTATAACCCTAACCCTGAATGAGCCGTACGACTAATGGGACGTCGGACCAATGGGACGTATATAGACCAATGGGACGTCGGGCCAGTGGGACGTATAAAACAATGGGGAATCGGACTATAGAGACTTCCCCATTGATATTATCAGTGTAGTGATGCGAGTTCACTCGCCGCAAGAATTGAGCCTGGGGTTGTGGCTGATAGCCGAGAAAAGGCAGGAATTTAGCAATGGAAGCGCCTGAACTCTTATCAAAACAAGGTTTAATTTTGAAGGTCAAAGCAGGAATTTGAAAGTTTCTAAGCCCGATTTATTTATTATTTATTTTATTTTAAAAATCAAAACCTATTTTGCCTTACTTAATTACCGTACCATCCCTTTTTATTTGATAACTTGATTTCAAAGTCTTTCTTATTACAGCGGGTTGAAAGAGGTAGAACATTTCATTCTTCTCCAATGACACAAAATGAAGGTTAAACTACATCTTGGATCTTGCTCCTTACTCTATAGGTTTGACCACACAACACATACCTGCCTCATCCAAGACCTTCCTTTCCAAGGCACGCATTAACAGTTCCATGTCTCGTGAAAGTTCATCCTTGATAGAGAAAAAAAAACAATGTAAAACCACGATACTTGTATCGTTCCATAATTACGACCTGAAACGATACAAGACTTTTGCAAGACAATCATGTCAATGTTTTCAGCTCGAAACGAAAGCGTGGTGAAAGTACTCGAGTTCTTTGGGGTTTTTTCAGCTTAATATTATTACAGGAAAGATTCCCATATCGGGCCATAACTTTTAACCCTGTGCACAAACCGTATGAGACTGATCTGAAAATGTCCTTGTTTTGTCAGTAAATACTTCAATATATTCCCTGCTAAATTTGACTTTTAAGGACATATTATCACTTTCTGATGGCCGATAGGCCACTGAAGGGAAAAATTAGTGACGGCCAGATATGGGAATCTTTCCTTATTATATTTTCACTTTCCATGCCTATTTCATGACTAGTCAACACTTACTGAAATAACAATTTTTAGTCTGATGTCAAGGCAAAATACCAAGGCAGAATATTAAGGCCGAAGTCATTTCACAACTATTTATAAGGACCTTTCAATAAACAGTCGGGCATGATTATTATTGGTTAAAAGAAGAAATCGGCTCGAGAAAAGATTCGAACCCATTTTGCATATTATCTGCCTTGCGTTCTACCGACCCAGTTCAATTGCACACGATTCACTCCCTTAGAGTTTTGCAAGTCTATAATGTCAAACACTAGTCAGAAAATACATGTTTATAAATGCTTGCTCGGTGACTATTTAATGAACAGTGCTACAAATAGTTAAAAGCCCACCTCGTTATTGGCTTCCTGTGGAAATGCAAAGACAGCATGGCACAGCGCCAGAGTAAGAAGGAAAAGACGAAGCATTCTTGCTGTTGGTGGTCGACAAGGTGTGGTCAGCTCAACTTGGTCTGGGGTGTGGTGTTTCCAGTACGTGTTGACAGGAAGCGTTAATGGAATGATGGAAGGGACCCAATGTCGGGGGATTTATATATAGCACTAGGCTGCCCACTTCTTTAATTGTTCTCAACAATGTGGGATTGGCTTAGACTAGAACGAAGGATTACGCGCTTTAATCTACTTAATTTGCGCTTGAAAATTCCACGGGTCTTTACCAAGACAAATTTCGTTTGTGCTTGCGGTTTCTTGCCTGTACGCATTATAACAGACAAGTAGACTGCTTTCAGTCTCGAACGCTCTATAATCTGCTTTTCTGCAAGCATAGAAGATGATTGACTCATGCTTAAACCAGGGAGATATGAAGGGAAGGAGTCAGAACTCTTGGGCGATTTAGATTTTGACATTAACATTCCAATCCCTCGGAAATGTCCAAAGCTTTGTGACCGCAGGCCTCGCCCATTCAAAGCGTGAATGCAAGCGGCCTTTGAACGCGATGATCGTCACCGCCTTTTTAGTTGGTAACCAACAACCTCCCTGTATGCTGCATAATAAGTCATGTCACGTCGTTGCTCTTTTTTGAAAAATACATTAAATGTGAGATTTTGGAAAATGTCATAAGTTTTCATACTGAAGGCATAGAGCATTTTGTGAAATGATTGTTTCAGATGTTGACCACATTGATATAGCCAGTATTAGCCAATTCCGAACAAACACTTTCAAAATTATTCATTTTTGGCGATGTATGAGAACTGCGCATGCGTATTACCATGGTGCTATCCAAGAAGCAATACAAAATCTTTCTTCCAGCACTAGTGAGCCGGATTTCTATTATATCGAGATTAGCGTAGTGGGCGACTGAATAAGATGCCGGCCGTCAGGTGCATTTCATTGTTGCTTTCGAGCGCGGCGATAATAACACTTTGAAGTACTGAAGCTCCCACTCCTTCTGTTCATATCACCATGCTTAAACCACAGTAACTAAAACGTGTTATGTGTTCTCTTGTATAAAACTTGAAAAAAAACCGCATTATTTCGTTCAAGCGTTTGATCACCTTTTTCAGGTGGAACAGGTATTGAAATTGCTTTAACGTGTACTAGTAAAGGGCCTGTCACATTATTTGCGATCTCATAGGAGACCTTTCGGCGAGCAAAAATATTTCATAAATTTATCAATCGCAGCGAGGTCGCAAGAAAATGACAACTTTCTGTCTCAAAGAAGCTTAAGCTACGCTCATACTGTGCTCTTCCCGCGCTTACGATGCGCTCAACTCGCTCTCTATGCGCCCCTGTCAAGCTCAATTACTCGATCTAGTCGCTGCCGCTACGCTGTCACTGTGCTCACACTACGCTCTGCTCGCTGTTGATACGTCCTATTCGACCAAAATACGCTCATGTGACGTCACTTGCGCCCACTGGCGTAGGACCCACTGGCGCCCACCTGGCGACCTATGTAGTTGTCGCTGCGATCTAGTAGTTGTTTTTGCGCCCCAGCTATTTTTCAAGGACGCAGTGAGAGCGCATATAAGATTGCAGACAGTGTGACAGGGCCTTAACCTAGAAATCACGGCTTGTTGGCTATATTGGAAAGGAGAAACTATAGTACACGTCACGTAGTATGACGTCACTTGATCTAATGGACAATGTGTTGGGCGGTGTAACGTATGCGCAATGCGCCTCCTAGGCTTGACCAATGCACAAGCTATTCAATATAGTTAAGTGACTGCACGACCTCCGTAGCCTTGGTTCGAAGGCGTTGTTTCCCACTTTCATTCTGTTTAATGGTCACCGTGCTTAATTCTTACAAATTCTATAATTTTCACCGATTCCTAGCGTTGATGTGAGTAATTTCCATCGTGTAGTATATAATACCAGTTGGCGAGTAAATTGCGCCCTCTGTCTATGACACTTGTAAGTATGCAGATTTTCACAATGTGCTCTCTAATTTCCAAAGACTGATACTATAGGGATCAGATGGTTTAAAATGAAAATCAATATCATTTAAGATTTTAAAAACTTGAATTTCTTTTTTTAAACACAGTTCGGTGTCTTGAGTGCAAACTATTTTTATTCGATACTGAAATTTGCTATTAATCGTATTTTCCATAGTTACAGTAGGATCTATTTTAACCAAGTACATGGGTTCTAGACCTATGGTATAACCAAGTATAGGGGAACGACGCTTCCATTATTTTCAGAAGTGAAAAACGAATTTCCACCCAGATAAAATTGACCAATAATTATTCACTGAGTGATACCGGGAAGAATCACATGTAACAAGCCAGTCAGTCTCACAGCCACTGTAGGAGATGTTCCAACATCTTAAACGTATTTACAGAAACAAAAGGAGTGAGGCCACAGTTCTTTATGTAACTCTACTTCAAATTTGGTGAGTGTACAAAAATCCAGAGTTGTAATGACTCGAGTCGATGACTCGACTCGAGTCCGACTCGAGTCACATTTTTTGGCGACTCGACTCGACTCGAGTCCCGACGGGTAAATGACTCGACTCGACTCGAGTCACTGTGAGCAAATGACTCGACTCGACTTGAGTCCCTCATCAGAATGACTCGACTCGACTCGAGGAAGGCTAATAAGACTCGAGTCCCAAAATAAAGCAAAACTTAATTGCGAAAAATATTTGCAATGACTTACGCTGCGCCGTTCGCGTTGCCAGTTTTTGTTCACGTCACGTTAATGTTCGCGAATAATGTACGTTTATATACAGCGGCAGTCTGTTTCCTTCCTCCATAATGAAACAACAAACATACACCGTGTCGCGGACTCCCACCTTGTGGTTCTATAGCATGTAATGCTAAACCCGGAACCAGACTTAAAACGCATTTCTCATTCCGTGGTTTCATCATTGGTTTCGGGCGATTTTGAAGTTCTTGGTGGAACGCTGGCTAAATTCATGTCCCGATTTCACACAAAAAAAAATGGATACGGACGGGCCCACCTTTAAATAATCAGAAACAGTTTTGTATAATGCAATTAGGTTTTAACATTGTCAGCGATTAGCGAACAACAAAATCTAGACCCGAAGCCAAACCAGTAGTTCAGTCGGAAAAGGGGGTATCGTGCACCCTCGGAAATCAATTTCTAATCAACGTTTCTAGGTTAGAAAAAATGCGTAGAAACGATTTGCTATGTTAAAAAATTCAAAAAATGTCCCACGTATTGTTTTTATGCAAATTAGTGCCGCCATTACCGAAAATCTATTTTAATTATATCTCAGCCAATATTGCAGATAACTGAACGAACTAGGTGTCTAAACCCATGTTTTCAAGGTCGGAGATCACAATAAAACTAGTCTGGAAGTGACCACATGTGTCTGTGGCATAGGAATATGCAAATTAGTGCCGCAAATACCGGAAAGTCATGTTTTTGGCATATCTCGCCAATATAGCACATAACTACACCATTAAGGTGTCTAAACCATGTTTTGAGGGTCAAGTATCATTAGAAGACCATTCACGAAGTACCTATGTGTGTCTTTGGCATGAAAATATGTAAATAATAAAGTGTCGGTTTATCGCTATTTGATTTTTAGCCAATATCTCGGCCAATATTGCACTTAACTACACAAGTAAGGTGTCTAAACCCATGTTTTGATGGTCAGGTATCATTAGAAAACCATTCACGAAGTACTATGTGTGTCTCTGGCAGGTAAATATGTAAATCTAAAGTGTCGATTTATCAGAAATTTGATTTTTAGCCAATATCTCGGCCAATATTGCAGCTAATGTTGACAGAAGGTTTTTGATAAGCAATAATGATCAAAGTTTATTTTAAGCCATCATATTCAAAATAAACTGTAATATGGCTGAAATTGAATATAATTTGGCGGAAAATCATTTTTTTGATAAACCGGCAATTTAGAATTTACATATTTTCATGCCAAAGACACACATAGTTACTTCGTGAATGGTCTTCTAATGATACCTGACCCTCAAAACATGGGTTTAGACACCTTACTTGTGTAGTTAAGTGCAATATTGGCCGAGATATTGGCTAAAAATCAAAGAGCGGATAAACCGACACTTTATTATTTACATATTTTCATGCCAAAGACACACATAGTTACTTCATGAATAGTCTTCTAATGATACTTGACCCTCAAAACATGGATTTAGACACCTTACTGGTGTAGTTATGTGCTATATTTGCCGAGATATGCCAAAAACATGACTTTCCGGTATTAGCGGCACTAATTTGCATATTCCTATGCCACAGACACATGTGGTCACTTCCAGACTAGTTTTATTGTGATCTATGACCTTGAAAACATGGGTTTAGACACCTAGTTTGTTCAGTTATCTGCAATATTGGCTGAGATATAATTAAAAATAGATTTTTCGGTAATGGCGGCACTAATTTGCATAAAAACAATACGTGGGACATTTTTTGAATTTTTTAACATAGCAAATCGTTTTCTACGCATTTTTTCTTACCTAGAAACGTTGATTAGAAATTGATTTCCGAGGGTGCACGATACCCCCCTTTTCCGACTAACTACAGTTACATGTATAAGACCGAAGTTTCACATCTTCTTATCTGTGACGTGAGCTAGCAATGGAAACTGTTGGTTGGGTACCATACAGCATACTTTATGTCTTTGGATTTCCGTAATAGACTGGTGCCTTGTATTCTTTCTCTCTTGTGTTTGTTGCTTTTTATTGTAATTTAGTGTTCAAATATTTGTGACTCGAATTGACTCGAGCTAAATACTTGACTCGACTCGACTCGACTCGACCACACTCTGTGACTCGACTCGACTCGACTCGACTCGACCTTGTTGACCTAATGACTCGACTCGACTCGAGTCACTTCTTTAAAATGACTCGACTCGACTCGAGTCACAAAAATCAGTGACTCGTTACAACTCTGCAAAAATCAAGACCCGTTTGGTCACAACCGTGAAGAATTGCAGGAAAGGGCTACTCTCTGAATATCGCAAAGAAATGGAAAGATTAACCCTTTATCGAATTTCCTCTGTAATGAAAACACGTCAATAAGGCACACTGAAACAAGTCCATTTGCTTTATTGAATTAGCTGCCACGCTATTTTATTAACGAACTAGCACAGAATTGAACTACCGTGCTTCTAAGGCTACTGCACAAAAGAACGAAGAAAGAACTCAAGATCCCTGATTGTGAACGAGTGTATTTCGTTTTCAATACAATTATTGCGTTTATTTAAAGTATGCAACTTTTCCCTCATTACGTAAAGAGGTTTGTTAGACGAGTGTGCCAAAACGCTGTGAGCTCTAAAACGTATTGGGTAGTAAAAGTCACGCTATTTTCGATACTGGTAATTTTAATCACTGACTTTTGTTGTATGTATCTAATATTATCATTGTTTTTATGATGAAGACCACTGAGAATGACTAGTCCACTTTAAATTCGTGGCATGTTAGTCGCCGTGTTGGTATTTTAGTACTGTACATGTACTCCCCAATGAAAACTTCATGACGGGTTTGAGGAACTAATCTTTCTCAATTGTTTAGACACTAGTCAGTCGGAATATCTCCTTATGATGCATGTGTTTTTTTCCAAACCAATATAAAGACTGGCATGACCATGCATGTGGTCTGAGTTTGCTTTTGGAGAAACTAGTGATTTTTATAATTGTTTGTGAATTCAGAATCGAGGAATGGTTATTCATTTAATTGAACGATAAAAGTGACAATCAAAAGGACTATACGACTAGCTATTGTGGCAGTGGAAACGAAAGTCCGTTGTCCGTTGTCCGTGGTCTTGTCGATCCCGTGGCCTTGTCGGTCCTTCCCGGTTGCACGACCCTTGTCACAAGAAATCACAACAAATATATAGCGTTATAGGCTTTGGAACGATAGCGTTGATAGTATACAAATATTGAATGCTTCGAGTAGTATAGTAAAACTAGCTGATCCATGGACATTCTATTTTCCCGAGGCGTAGCCGAGGGAAAATAGAATGGTCCATGGACCACCAAGGGAGGCTAGTTTTACGTTACGTTAAACGTTATTATAACACCTCACCCGCAGATTCTGTGTCTTGATTGGCCGAGAGCGAGTCACATGATACTTTCTATTTTGGCTATCTTTCTGTGCACGGCCAAAAGTACTAAGCCCGTAGCAACCAAAGCACTACACCATTAGCAACAAAAGTACTATTTCCACGGCGCGGCATGTGTGTGCAAATGCATGCTTGTGTGCGCGTTGTGCGCTTTGTTCCAAAGAGAAGCGCGCCACAGAGTTGGGTTCAAACATTTAACGAAGGGGTAGTTTGGAAGAGAGAAATACATTTTCAACCAATTTTGTATTGAAATTGAAGTTTATTTCAACTGTGTTCAGATTTAGATAATTTAAAATATTAAAACCAAGCAGAATCTGTGGTTGAAGTGTTGTAAAACAATATATAATGATTTATCTCTTGGTGAAGTAAAACTAGCCTCCCTCGGTGATCCATGGAGCATTCTATTTTCCCTCGGCCACCTAGCTCGGGAGGCTAGTTTTACTACACCACTCGAAGCATTCAATATTTGTATACTCTAGCAATGTAACAAATTCTTTGAAAACTCTGCTATAAAAAAGACACATGAGAAACTCCGCGAAAAGACTTATGTAACAGCATATTTTTAGTAGTATAAGTGCGTAGGCCTATTCTCCCCATGATTAGGCCCCCAAAAAATAAGTCTCCGGTTACTGGTATGGAGCTTGCCCAAAAAATGGTGCGGCGACGCGTTTTTTAATTTTTTTTTATTCACCTGATTTTTTTGCCTCAAATGTCGGCTGATGACTGCAAATGGTGCCCGACTAGACTTAGTGTAATTACATGGGAGTCCAGAGAAGCCACATAAAGCTTATTCTCGATCATAACCCCATCTAAAAACACGTTGAAATTGTGCAGCAGCAGGATTCCAGTCAAACCAGTGAATGTTGCAGTTTTGAGACATCATCTTTCATTGAAAAAAAACCTTTTTCCTTTTGCCGACGCGCATGGCTACGGCGACGCGCGCGCATACCAGAAACCGGAGACTTTTTTTGGCCTTATACTATACCAACTGGGGTGAGTATGATTGCCATTTCAATAGTTATTTCACCAGACTCACATAGTACATCTCAACATTTTGATGTGAAATGCACATTGCTCATAGGGTGCCCAGTGCTGTTAGCTAGTCTACATAAATAGTCAATAGTTAATAGTCATAACTTAAACGCACGCGTATCTTTTTGGGCAGGTTGAATCGTAAATCAATCAATCGTAAGTCGCGTAAATACCACTTGCAATTTCCGCTTGCGAGGACCTCAGTAGTTGACTCCATATCTTGAGGTGGTAGTTTGAGTATAAGAACAGACCGTATGCGTTGTAGGACATAATTATGTATGCATTTAACTTCTTGTCCATAAAATAGGCCAGTTTTTAATTCTTTTGTGTATGGGCTTTAGACCGTCACAATGAAATATATATGAAAGAAAATATAAGTTATGAACCTTATTATTTTGCTTAATTCCCAACTCTGGGTAGCCAAAATAATGTCAAAATACAAGCAGGCAAGCTTAATTAGCAAAGCTTTTCCCAGGTCACGGGGGGGGGGGGGGGGGGGGCAGAGTGGAAGATTGCAAGGGGATGGAGATTTCAAAAGCAAAATCGGGACGGTGAAAATGGATTGACCAGACGAAAATTCTATTTTGCAACGGGCAAACAAAACCCTAGTTATACGCACGTACAATATTATATTCTATTGAATCGATAAAGAACGGCTATTCACTGGAAGGGGGTAGTGTTTTCACTGACTACACAATCAATGCGGCGGAGTTTAGCCGATTCATGCGTTCAGAGCAGTACATGAATATTTCAAACTTTTGGGGCAACTTGGGTATTAAAGACTGGAGCATTCTAAGTCACAAGGACAGTCAGCGACTCAAGCCCGGTAGAAAGAAAGAGCACTATAGGCTGGCCCCTCTAACACCAGCAATAGACCTGTATCATGCATGCTGCCACCATTTCAGTCATGTTCCCTGTATCCATTATCAGTACTGAATGATGTGTTTGTGCAAAAAGGAACCAGACTATTTTTCCTTCCAGCCTCGCTTTGGTTACGTTGATTGGAATGGGAAATAATCAATATGGCCGCAACATGATAAGGCCAAAAAAAAAGTCTCCGGTTTCTGGTATGCTCGCGCGTCGCCGTAGCCATGTGCGTCGGCAAAATGAAAACGTTTTTTTTTTCAATGAAAGATGATGCCTCAAAACCGCCAAACTCACTGGTTTGACTGGAATCCTGCTGCTGCACAATTTTAACGTGTTTTTAGATGGGGTTATGATCGAGAATATATCTTTATGTGGCCTCTCTGGACTCCCATATTATATTTGCACTAAGTTTAGTCGGGCACCATTTGCAGTCATCAGCCGACATTTGAAGCAAAAAAAAAAAAACAGGTAAAAAAAAAAAGCCGCGTCACCGCACCACTTTCTGGGCAAGCTCCGTACCAGAAACCGGAGACGTTTTTGGCCTAATGGTCTAGGGAACCGATTTTGTTTTGTTTTAAAAGTAAACGACGAAGAACAAATGCAACAATTTCATGCAATATGCTGTGACCTCTTTAGCCTTAATCTTTTGAAGGCACAGATATGCGAGTTATTCTTACCTCCATGCTCTACATGCAAAATTTCATGGGAACGGCCCAGACCTGGACTTCGCAAATCTGCAAAATGGCCCCGTCTCTTGGAATGTGAATAACGATCTGATCTCCCGCAATTGGCTTATCGCAAATGACGAGGTTCATCCCGCCGGGAATGTTGGCCGACTGCGCGGTAACTGGTGAGCCGCACGCTGGTCCGCCTACACGCACCACAGCTCCGGCCAAACGGTCATCTGTGTGAAAGAAATGATTTAATGTTAGACATAAGATGAGGTAAAATTAATGTTTCTGTTTATAATGACCGACTATGCCGGTGTTTCATCTACCACTCGTATATAGCCAGATTATCTCAAGACGAAACTGAATTTACAAAGAACATTGCTTTGAGCAAAGTTCGTATTTTCGAAAGTTGCACTCATCCCTGCATCATCTTTGGATACTCTAGCTCCTAGTTCATTATTGTAAAAAAAAAGAATGCGATAGCAAAATAAGAAAAGGAAGAAATCGATTATCCTTCTAAGATTCTAAAGAGTGAAACAAGGGACCAGACTGATTTTGGACTAAAACAAACGAAAAAAAACTTACCAAAATGACCAAAATAAGCCCCCAAGTTTCCCACAAAATGTGGCTACCAAATTTTCATTTTCAAAAAAAGCAAACAAAATAAATTAAATACTTAATTGTATTGTAGGAAAGACGTTTTTGAAAAGTTTGTACATGGAGGCAAGAAATGTGCAGTAATGTTAAAGTCACTGGTATTTATCACAGAGTGCTATGAATCGAGGCAGAAATCTAAAGTATTGTGTTTCATTATTTATGTGCCATCGACGTCGCACTTTTGTGCGTTGCATTTTTGACTTGTATGCAAGACGGCCAGAGCTTATTGTGCACTCGCTCTTGTTATAGAGACTCTGGTGAAAAGGTCGATCTATCCGACTGAATGAATTTCGTCTGGTCCCTAGTCAGTCATGGGAGTAAATGTCACTCGAATAGAATGACTTAAAAGTTTTATTCTGGAAATGAGGGTATATAAAAAGAGAGGCTTTATAAAATATTTAAACCAAACTGGGCCAATTTTAAAGACACAAAAAATCAGAGCAAACCGATCTTCCTAGTGTAAATTTGAACACGAGTTTTGTAACTCACAGTCGCCGTCTCCACGGTTCACAATGCCGACCTGCACAATACAGTGAGGCTCACGAAGATACACTCTCCACCACGGGTTGTTCTGAGGTGCTACAATAAACGAAAGTAAATAAAACTTGATATACATCTGATTCAGACGGGGAGTGTTACAAAGCATGCAAGTCCCAGGCTGAGATGTTCCATTGATGCAGTGGCGGCGCTACGGGGAGGGGGGGGGGGGGGTATGCGTGTTAACGTATGGGAAGGGCTGTACGCACATTGCCCTGCCCCGCCCCGCCCCCCCCCCCCCCCCCCCCCCCAGTTTTTTCCCAAAAAATTATCAACAAATAGATTTATTTTCTTCGCTGTTAAGATTCATAAAATGTGGACACATTAATTTGTTGGCCGATGAAAGCATAATAATTATTGGTACTTTGGCAGACAAAACACGCCACACATGTATTCATACAGCCGTATCCGCTCTGTTCACAAGTACCCCCTCACTGGCAAAGAAGGAACAGTGGGGGTGACCGACCGACGCTGTCTTGCCCGACTGCAATTTTGCCGTGACGTGCGGCCGTACCACTGCGTGTGCATCACCCCCTGGTACATGGTGTACGTGCGTCACACACAAGGAACGGCGCGCGTTATCCAGCTAAATGTCCCGCCCATGGGACGTCGTTGCTAGGTAAAAGGGCGCCCTCTTTCGTTGGCGCACGGATCCCATATACTGTGCAGCCAACGTCTTTGTACATTTGGTATACAGACCATTCTGCGGTTAGATGCATTTCTCATTCATAAAAACGACTACACATCTAAGCTGCTCTAGTGGCTTATTTCCGGACCATTGACAATGGGCGTACACATGAGGCATAAGATTTTTTTTTGACAGCCCCCCCCCCCCCCAAAATATTTCTTTGCCCCCCAATTGCCCCCCCCCCCCCATCCACAAGAGTCTGGCGCCGCCACTGCATGTACCTTTGAACATAGTGAAATGCGAGGAAAATATCACTTCACTAACCCAGCCCGTGAGTATCAGCTATCTATAGATAAACGACTGATTTACCTGTGTGCGCGCAGCTTCGTCCCTGGATCAGATCCGAGTTGAAATTCTTGTCCACTGCGTTACCAGAACCGTAAGTGACGTCATTGAATACGAGGGTGGAACTCTGTTCTGTTTGAAGGTTGACGATATCTACCAATGTAACCGCAGGAGCTGTTCGAACATGGAAAAAAACCCATTGAAATCGGAATAAAATTTTTAAATTGTTCAAAGATTGGTTGATGTTAGTCCGTTCCATTATACTTATGCACGCCTGTCCAACAAATTGGCGTATTGCATTGCGTAAAGGTTTGTCTAATAATTTTACCGATGCCGTATAGTAGGCCTATACAGTCATGTCTGAAATCTGGCAATGAAGTACCGGAAACAGCCTTCGATGTAATTGATAGTGGTTAATCTCCAAGTCCGACGTCCCATTGTAGTGGCGCACCCAGGATTTGGCTTTGGGGAGCCCCAATTTTTTTCCAAACATTTCATAAGTTTAATTAAAAAAAAAAATGTTGCCCAATTTTTTTGGCCGCAGAATTTTTATTCTGGCGTCCCTATTACACCCCTATTATACTACTCGACAAAAGGCTCAAGCCCCCCCCCAGCCCCCCCCCCCCCCCCTTGAGTGCGCCACTGTCCCATTGGTCAGATGAAACATGGTTCAGGTTGACTGACCCTTATCCTTAACCCCAACCTCGTCCCCAGGGTGTCGAGCAGCACGCGCCCACCACTACCTGCTCTCTCACCCTGGTATTGGATCATTTGCATGTGCAAAATTTTTGAACACGTATCCAAATTAAGACTAGTCTGGTGCCTGTCTGTGCGTTACATTCGCATTTTTTTGTATGTGGCGTCTGGGGTAAAAACAGAGTCAAATTGTCGCAGCGCGAGCATTGCGTGAGCTACGAAAACACGATTTTTTTCAATTAAACTGTTACGATCTTATCAAGACAACATGCAGTATCACATTTCATATTAATATGAACAAATTGGAAAGTAAATGAATATTTTCGAGAAGGCATGGACGAATGACCACGAAAACACGTACTGCACGTTGCGAATAACAACACCAAGTACACGATATAAATCCATTTCTAGCCAAAAAGTGCGATATCGAATCAGGATACAGGAAGAAAGTTTCCTATCCAGGGTTTACTATTGGAAACGATGTTGGAAATAAAGTAAGCACTGGGGACGAAGTTGTTATAACCCTAACCCTGAATGAGCCGTACGACTAATGGGACGTCGGACCAATGGGACGTATAGACCAATGGGACGTCGGGCCAGTGGGACGTATAAAACAATGGGAAATCGGACTATAGAGACGTCCCCATTGATAGTATACAGTGTAGTGATGCGAGTTCACTCGCCGCAAGAATTGAGCCATGGGGTTGTGGCTGATAGCTGAGAAAAGGCGGGAATTTAGCAATGGAAGCGCCTGAACTCTTATCAATTCAAAACAAGGCTTTATTTTGAAGGTCAAAGCCAGGAATTTAAAAGTTTCTAAGCCCGATTTAATTATTATTATTTATTTTATTTTAAAAATCAAAACCTATTTTGCCTTACTTAATTACCGTACCATCCCTTTTTATTTGATAACTTGATTTCAAAGTCTTTCTTATTACAGCGGGTTAAAAGAGGTAGAACGTTTCATTTTCCTCCAATGACACACAAAAAAAGGTTAAACTACATCTTTAATCTTGCTCCTTACTCTATAGGTTTGACCACACAACACATACCTGCCTGATCCAAGTACTTCCTTTCCAAGGCACGCTTTAACAGTTCATGTCTCGTGAAAGTTCATCCTTGATAGAGAAAAACCAATGTAAAACTTTGATACTTCATATATCTGTATCACTCCATAAATAAGACCTGAAACGCTACAAGAATTTTGCAAAGCATGTAAATGTTTGCGGCTCGAAACGAAAACGTGGTGAAAGTACTCGAGTTCTCTTTTTTTCAGCTTAATATTATTATAGGAAAGATTCCTATATCTGGCCATAACTTTTAACCTTATTCACAAACCGTATGAGACTGGTCTGAAAATGTCTGTGTTTTCTCAGTAAATACTTCAATATTTTCCCTGCTAGATTTGACTTTAAGGACATTTATCACTCTCTGATGGCTGATAGGCCACTGAAAGGAAAAATTAGTGACGGCCAAAGATTGGAATCCTTCCTGATCCTTACTATATTTTCACTTTCCAGGCCTATTTCGTGACTAGTCAACACATACAGAAAATCTCAATTTTTTTAGTCTGATGTCAAGGCAAAATACCAAGGCAGAATATTAAGGCCGAAGTCATTCCACAACTATGTATAACTAGTATCAGGACCTTTCAGTAAACAGTTGGGCATGATTATTATTGGTTAAAACAGAAGAAATCGGCTCGAGAAGGGATTGAATCTATTTTGCATATTATCTGGCTTGCGTTCTACCACCCAGTTCAATTGCACACGATTCACTCCCTTAGAGTTTTGCAAGTCTATAATGTCAAACACAAGTAGGAAAATGCATATTTATAAATGCTTGCTCTGTGACTATAACAGTGCTACAAAATTGTTAAAAGCCCACCTCGTTATTGGCTTCCTGTGGAAATGCAAAGACAGCATGGCACAACGCCAGAGTAAGAAGGAAAAGACGAAACATTCTCTCTCTTGGTGGTTGACAAGGTGTGGTCGGCTCAACTGGGTCTGCGGGAGTGTGGTGTTTCCAGTGCGTAGACGAGAAGCCACGTATATCACGTATATATTTGTGCCTTCTGCTTAGCCTTGTCTCATTGTGCCCAGGTATCCCAATCGAGGCCATAATCGAGGCCATCAGCCTTGTCCCTTTATAAAACTTAAATATGGCATGACAAATTATTCTTTCTTACTCTAATTTTTGTTTCAATAGGTCTATTGATGCTCCGTATTCAAATGATGTAGTAGTCTTTTCGCAAGCAGTGATTTCTTTGATTAAGATTGTTTTTTCCCTTAAAAATGTAAGTTTTTAGGTATAAGGGAGATCTATGGAAGTGAAGCCAGCAATGTCGATGTTCCCTTCCAGGTGATAAATAGGGAGCCACAATTGTGGTTTTTTTTAATTCACAATTGATTGATTTGCTCTTTATCAGTATAATTCACGGTCAATTTGCATGGCAAAAAGAAGGCAACGAATATTCCTTTTAAAGAAATGTAGCCCAGCTGATTATAATGGTGAGTTTTATTGGCAACTTATTTTGAGTGTATAATTTTTTGGGGAAAAACTTTGGGAAAACTCACATAATGGAAATTTTGGACATTCTATGCCACCATAGCGCCAGAATATGTTGGTAAAATGTCGCCAACATGGGAAGACTATAGTAGATGTCTCCCACTGCGCATGTGCAGCAAGTATAACCCCCAAGTGAATACACCCGCAATGGGCTATTCATAAGGTCCCCTTATTCCTAAAAACTCAGATTTTTAAGGGAAAGAACATCAATAGACCTATTGAAACAAAAATTTGAGTAAGAAAGACTGATTATGTCATGCCGCATTTACTAAGCCAAGGCTGATGGCGTCGAGTGGGATACCTGGGCACAATAGACAAACAAAGTGGAAGGTTCTTTCGTACCCCGCCCTGCAAACTGATGAATTCACGCTCTGATTGGTTAGATTTTGGGCAACCTGTGACCAGAGCGTCATCAAGGTCATGACTCTGCAAGGTTTGAAACGGTCGTAAAGATTGATTCATTACTCTTTTATTCCAATTTAGAGACGTTTTATTTTTGTTGAAAAACGTAATAATGTAGGAAATTCTGTAAAACTTATCTGTGTTGTAAATTTACAATTCCCGTCACTTTCTCAGGCTCTGTTTCGAATCACGAACAGTCAAAATTTTGTCCACATGGTCTGCAATGAAACAGAAATCACATTTGGTGTGGAATGCGCGCATTTCTATGGGAAGTTTTTGGAGAGCATTTGCGCACATTGTATCATAACTGCGGTCTTGAACAGCTGCAGCCAGATGCTTTATACATAGGTCAATTCCTTCACAAGATTCTGTGAAGCTCATCAGAGTATCCCAGCGCCCTGTTTGCAGGGGTACGAGAGAAAGTGGAAGGCACAAATATACGCGATGAAAGGAAGGAGTCAGAACTCTTGGGCGATTTAAATTTTGACCGTTAACATTCCAATCCCTCGGAAATGTCCATAGCTAAAGCGCCATGTGACCGCAGGCCTCGCCCATTCAAAGCGTGAATGCAAGCGGCCTTCAGTTTGAACACGGTGATCGTCGCCTTCTTTTTAGTTGGTATAACAAACAACCTCCCTATATGCTGTATATTAAGTCATGTCACGTCGTTGCTCTTTTTGAAAAATATATAAATGTGATATTTTGGAAAATGTCAAAAGTTTTCATACTGAAGGCATAGAGCATTTTGTTAGTCATGAAATGATTGTTTCAGATGTTGACCACATTGATATAGCCAGTATTATATTAGCCAACTCCGAACAAACACTTTCAAAATTATTCATTTTTGGCGATGTATGACAACTGTGCATGCGTATTACGCAAACTCTTTCTTCTACCGCTAGAGCCGGATTTCTATTTAATATATTAGCGTAGGCCTATAGTGAGCGACTGAATAATCTGGCCGCCAGGTGCATTTCATTGTTGCTTTCGAGCGCGGCGATGATCTTATAATACTTTGAAATACTGGAGTTCTGACTCCTTCTGTTCATATTTCCATGTTAAAACCACAGTAAACGTGTTAATATAAGATGGAATTTTTGTTGGAGTTGGAGGTAACACACTGAGTACACAGTGTTTAAACGTCGGTGAAGGGCAAAACCTAATTTGATAAAACGTGTTATGTGTTCTTCTTATTATTATTATTTCGTTCAAAGCGTTTGATCACCATTTCAGGTGGAAGATGTATTGAAACTACTTTAACGTGTACTAGTAACCTAGATATCACGGCTAGTTGGCTATATTTATTGGAAAAGAGAAACTATAGTACACATGCACATGACGTCACTTGATGACAATGTGTTGGGCGGTGTAACGTATGCGCAATGCGCCTCCTATAGGCTTGACCAATGCACAAGCTATTCAATATAGCTAAGTGACTGCACGACCTCCGTAGCCTTGGTTCGAAGGCTTTGTTTCCCAGCTTCATTCTTTTTAATGGTCACCGTGCTTAATTCTTACAAATTCTAAAATTTTCACCGATTCCTAGCGTTGATGTGAGTAACTTCCATCGTGTAGTAATACCAGTTGGCGAGAAAATTGCGCCCTCTGTCTATGACACTTGTAAGTATGCAGATTTTCACAATGTGCTCTCTAATTATAGGGATCAGATGGTTTAAAATGAAAATCACTATCATTTAAGATTTTAAAAACTTGAAAAAAAACCTTTAAAAAACACAGTTCGGTGACTTGAGTGCAAACTAGGTTTATTCGATACTGAAATTTGCTATAAATCGTATTTTCCATAGTTACAGTAGGATCTATTTTAACCAAGTACATGTATAACCAAGTCTAGGGGAACGACGCTTCCATTATTTTCAGAAGTGTAAAACGAATGTCCAACCAGATCAAATTGACCGATAATTATTCACCGAGTGATACCGGGAGGAATCACATGTAACAAGCCAGTCAGTCTCACAGCCATTGTAGGAGATGTTCCAACATCTTAAACGTATTTACAGAAACAAAAGGAGTGAGGCCACAGTTCTTTATGTAACTCTACTTCAAATTTGGTGAGTGTACAAAAATCAAGACCCGTTTGGTCACAACCGTGAAGAATTGTGAGAAAGGGCTACTCTCTGAATATCGCAAAGAAATGGAAAGATTAACCCTTTATCGAATTTCCTCTGTAATGAAAACACGTCAATAAGGCACACTGAAACAAGTCCATTTGCTTTATTGAATTAGCTGCCACGCTATTTTATTAACGAACTAGCACAGAATTAAACTACCGTGCTTATAAGGTTACTACACAGAAGAACGAAGAAAGAACTCAAGATTTCTGATTGTGAACGAGTGTATTTCGTTTTCAATACAATTATTGCGTTAATTTAAAGTATGCAACTTTTCCCTCATTACGTAAAGAGGTTTGTTAGACGATCGTGCCAAAACGTTGTGAGCTCTAAAACGTATTGGGTAGTAGAAGACACGCTATTTTCGATACTGGTAATTTTAATCACTGACTTTTGTTGTATGTATCTGATATTATCATTGTTTTTATGATGAAGACCACTGAGAATGACTAGTCCACTTTAAATTTGTGGCATGTTAGTCGCCGTGTTGGTATTTTAGTACTGTACATGTACTCCCCAACGAAAACTTCATGACGGGTTTGAGGAACTAATCCCTCTCAATTGTTTAGACACTAGTCAATCGGAATATCTCCTTATGATGCATGTGTTTTTTTCCAAACCAATATAAAGACTGGCATGACCATGCATGTGGTCTGAGTTTGCTTTTGGAGAAACTAGTGATTTTTATAATTGTTTGTGAATTCAGAACTGAGGAATGGTTATTCATTTAATTGAACGATAAAAGTGACAATCACTTGAAATGACAAATCACCCATGAAAAAAAGGAAAAACAATGCAGAAATGAAAAATCTTGTGAACTATACGACTAGCTATTGTGGCAGTGGAAAACGAAAGTCCGTTGTCCGTTGTCCGTGGTCGGATCCCGAGGCCTTGTCGGTCTTTCCCGGTTGCACTACCCTTGTCACAAGAAATCACAACAAATAGATGGCGTTACAGGCTTTGGAACGATAGCATTGATAGACGTTACTGTAGCAATGTAACGAATTCTTTGAAAACTCTGCTATTAAAAAGACACATGGGAAACTCCGCGAGAAGACTTATGTAACAGCATATTTTTAGTAGTATAAATGCGTAGGCCTATTCTCCCATGATTATACTACCAACTTGGGTGAGTATGATCGCCATTCCAATAGCTATTTCACCAGACTCACATAGTTACATCATGGGTTACATCTCAATATTTTGATGTGAAATGCACATTACTGCTTAAACGCACGCGTATCATTTTGGGCAAGTTGAATCGCAAATCAATCAATCAATCGTAAGTCACGTAAATACCACTTGGAATTTCCGCACGCAATATGTGACTGTATGACTTGTGATTGGCTAATTAGCTTACGAAGACCTACGGCTAGTTGACTCCATATCTTGAGGTGGTAGTTTGAGTAAGAACAGACCGTATGCGTTGCGGGAGTCCCGGAGGGTATGCCTTGTTATTTTAATTAATTAACAGTGAATGCAAACAGATGTACTCATTCCTATCCACAATACCACTGCCCCCTAACTCTGCCCTTTGACATAAGATATATACGCCGTAGAGAAGTGTGACGTCACGCGGGGTCGTCTACAAAAGTGGTCGTTCCACACAATGTCCCGACCGCCATTTTCCCCATGTACGGGCGATTTAAGTGAACGTTTTATAGTTGAAATTTCTCAGACATTCAGAACTTAAAACTGGAAAATGGGACAGTGCTTTGTGTTTACTCAGAACCGTTATTTTTCTTGTTGAAGGAATAAAAAATGATGAAAAGTGGGCACCGTGCGCGTATCGCTACGTAATTATAAGTACAGGTTTGTGTGGACAATTCGCCCCAGGCAACGCGTGACCTCAGCGGCGTATGACGTAACCACTTTCTACGGCGTACAAACTCCCTAGCGCCCAGGCTTGACGGTGAACGTTTTACT